TTTTTTTTTTTTTTTGAGTACTTACGATACCAAGTAATTCCAAGTTAAGACTATAATTCCAGAAAGAAATGTAAACTCACAGGTAGACCTGTCTCATTAGACGTTACTTCTAACACCTTCAGGTACCAATGATGCATTTACTAAGTGGGCTATGCTTTTCTAATAACTTGAATGAAGCTGCCAAAATTTGGACTAAGGCAGCTAAGGATTGAAGCCAAGCCTTGAATACCACAAAATTCCATTCACTGCTGTTTTAAAATGGGGGGACAAGTGTTTGCCTAAAGCCCAATCTTCTACTTTAGATTCACTGCATCTTAAAAAACAAACGGTGTAGGATTTTATTAAGTTCTCTTAGCCCTGCAAATTTTAGCCTAAAAATATTTGTTTAGGATAATTATACTACAATATATTCTGTTGTCCTGTCAGTCGTATTAATAACTTAGGGAACAGCCCTAAAACTAGACACTCTGCACAACAGTCATGCAGTGCCAAATTACTCACATTAAGCCCATGCACAGCTTACCATACCTTTCTCATCAGGACTTATCAAAACTTTGCTTTGTAATTTTAGCCCCTATTAAGCTGAATGAGTTATGGTAGGCTATTACATGCTCCTAAAGTAATCCATCATTTGACTAGCGCTCGCTTGAGTTCCCAAACTCCAAGAGGCTCCGTAGCCATTAAACCTGTCACGGATGTGCTCAGCGAGGCATGTCCTGAGTTCACAACGTTGCTACAGAGCCAGGATTCAAGGAAAGAAAAAGTAAGGAGAGGAAGTTGTGCCAAATTTCACCCAGCAGAGGTAGAACTGGATTTCTGCACTTTACTTACTGGTTGCATTTAAAATGTATTGCATGTCTGTTAGAAATATGTCCAGCAAATCAATTCTGACAATGCTTATGACACCTTAGAGCAAAAGAACAGCTGATTTTCTCATAGAAGTGATTCCTTCAAGATTACTTGTTTTGCTCAGAAATCTCTTACCTTATTTTACAAGACTTCTAATTTTTTGCTTCCTGTTTAACCTCACTTCCAATAAAGTCTAATCTAAGCACATTTAAGAAAATATTTATGACTATTTTTACCTGCATCTTTCAATTTCTACAGTAATGACCATGCATATCCTTGCAACTGCTTTAGTCAGTTTTAGCTTATAGACAAAGAAATTTTCACTAATACTACTTGCTGTCTCCCAAGAAGGGAAGGGAAGAAAATCTTTGCTCAGAATCAACTTCAGAAGTTCTAAACACCAGAAAAGATCCTAGCTTTAGCACATGCTGTGCCTATTTAAGTGACAGTATGTTCAAGTTAAATTGCAAATAACACTTTTGGCTAGAAAAAGACAGTTATCTCAGCCCCCTCTTCTTCTATAAAGATTTTTTACATCAATATCCATTAAGTGAAGGTGCATGCTTTTGTTGTAATCACACTTTGCACTATTAAAGAACTGCCAAAAGCTCTTTAGAGTCAGAAGCCAAAACAGAGTTGAAGATTCTGTCTTTAAGGGCAGAAATACTTTCCTACTCAAGTCCTTCTGCTTCCAGTAAATGAAGAGTGAAATTTTAAATTAGTCCTAGGAACATCAGGAATACTTATGCCTGATGAGATTAAATCTAGTTACTTCTGTAGGTACTTTTTCTCTGACAGTGAGGCTTGTCTATTAAAGTACTTGCTTTGTGTTTTACAGAAACATCATTAAGAAATATTCTATATGCTAATTAATAGAAAGTAAAAACATAAGAGTAGCCAGATCTGTGTGTCTAATCATCCATTCAGTCCCAGAAGCTTAAGAGTGAGCAGCACTTGAGCTGTTTTTCCCTAAGTATCTAGTAGAGGACCGTCTTCCAAACCATCCTCCTTGCTGCAAGCAGCAGTTTGTACCCAAAATAACATGTAGCTCCAGTCACAAAGCTGAACAAATCATGAGGCTGTGCAGAAGATTTCCGTCCTTTTGGGGCCCAACTTGAGAAGTTTTCCTCTTGTCCCCTAACACACCAGTTTAAGTCTTCAATTTGAGATCTTTGAAAAGTCTTTGGAAATCCAGCAACACAGTTTATAGTCCAGCTCTTAAAATCTTGCTTCTTGAAATATTTATAACTTGAAAGTCATAGTAGCTTCCCTTGTGTGCTGTATTAATCCTTTCCTGACAGAAATGGCCAGCATGCATAGTGTAAAGCAAGTTGTTCTCAGGCAGCTCTTCCAAGCAGCCATTATATTTGCCATCCTCTGTTCCTAAGCCACCAAAAACACTCCTTCAGAATTATCAGGAACTCATGAGATAACTGCTCCCACTGATAGGCTGGAGTGCTTTTATTTTATTTTTAAATGTTAAGTCTGATTATTTGAACTTCAGAATCCACTTTATGCCTCTGCAAGAGACTAACATGATCTTTTTTCCCTGAAACCCCTTTATTAAGAATATACCAATAAAGCCTTTAGTTCTTTTGATCAATCTCAAGCACCGAGCTGTCTGATCATTTCTAGCAGGCTTCTTCCTTCTGCACAGTTTAAGAAATATCTTCAAGTAAAGTGAGCTTTACAGTATTTATCTGTTACGTTGTGCCATTCCGTGAGGCTAAATTAGGCCTTATCCTTTGGACAGACTTCCACTTTCAAAGGAGTCCTTCACCATAACCACATTTTAGTCTGTCTAGAGCCCAACCCCTATTAAAAACTAAGATTCTGTGCTGCCTGCAGTATTACACTCCATCAGCCACTCCTTTTAAGAATCCTCAGTTCTGCAAGTTTTTTGTCCTCTGCCCGCTTTTTAGTGCCATTAACTCTAGCTGCAAGGTAACTATTAGTATCTGCACATACCATGAGGTTGATCAGCGGTAGCCACTCAGCAATTACCGGTGCACCACTCGGCACAGAGGCTGTAAATGCTCCTCCTGGCAGATTTTGTTCCACAAGCACAGACAGACTGTGTGTAAGCACTGCTAGGTGCTGCAATAGGTCACACAGGCTAAGCTGAGATAGCCACGATAGCACTGCAGAAGGGCAAGTAAGACAAGCAGCACATCTGCAGTCCGTCACGATTCTCAGATAACTGTCCTGCAACATCTAGGCATAAAACGCCCACCCATATTGGTTCTGAGAAAACTGTCCTCTACATTAGTAACATCACAACCTTATCTTCTGCCAGCCTTATGCCACCTCCCTTTGCAGGAGACAAGTTACCCGCATTACCGGGCAATAGCGTTAATGACGAAGCATCAGACTAAGGGAAGGGCTGCTCTGCAGCAGTCATGCAGACTGCCCACTTTGGAAGACAACTTCACCTACTCCTTTCATCTTCTTTCTGAGCACCTCAGTCATTTAGAGAAGCAAAGATTGCTTTGAATTCCAACCTCAATAGGGCATTCAGAGGTCCAAGCTCCTCCTTTTCTAACCGTTCTCTACTATTCTTCCTCTCTCTCTCCAAACCAGGGACACCACTCAAACAATCTTTAAGAACAGACAGTTTTTCATATCTCATCCTGGATGCCATCTCTAAGCACGTGGAAGAAAAGTCATCAGGAGTAGCCACCATATATTGACACAGGGAAAAAGGGAGCCTTCTGTGATGGAAGGAGACTGGCAGGGTATACAAGAGGAAAGCAGTGATGCTGCCTACCTTGACTTTGCAAGGCTTTCCACATCGTATCCCATAGCATCGTCGTAGGTAAGGTCAGGAAGTGTGGGACAGATGAGTACACAGTGAGGTGCATGGAGAACTAGCTGAATGGCAGCTTAGAAAGCTGTAATCAGCAGCACAGAGTCTGGACGGACATCCATAGCTAGTGGCATCCCCCAAGGATCTCCAAAATGGTGTCAAATCCTGTCCAACTTATGACTTGGATGAAGGGACAGGGTGCACCCTCAGCAATTTTCCAATGATACAAAACTGGAAGGAGTGGCTGATAGACCAAAGTACTGACCTGCCCTTCACAGACCTCTAGACAAGCTGCAAAGTTGGGCAGAGAGGAACTTCATGCAGTTCAACAAAGACAAGCCCTGGCACCAGCACAGGGTGCTGGAAAGTAGCTCTGTGGAGGACCTGGAGTCTTGGGAGGACAAGCTGGCCATGAGCCAGCAATGCACTCTTGCGGCCCATGGGATCCTGGGCCACACTAGGAAAACTGTTGCCAGCAGGTCAAGGGAGGGGATCCTCCTCTCCCACCGGGCCCTGGTACTCACCTAGACCTCCCTAGGACGAGAGAGGCACGGAGCTACTGGAGACAGCCCCGCAAAGGGCGATGAAGATTAGTGGACTGAGGAGGACTCCTCTTATGAGGAGAGACAGACCTAGGCCTGTTTAGCCTGGAGAAAGGACTGAGGTAGAATCTTATCAGTGTACACAAGTATCTTAAGTCAAAAGGATGGGTCCAGACTCTTTGCAGCAGTAGCCAACAATAGCACCTGAGGCAACAATCAGCTCTGATTTAGTTGTATACCTGAGTCTGAGGAAAAACTTTTACTGTGAGGGTGATAAGCACTGAAATAGGTTGCCTATAGAAGTTATGGAGTCTTCTTCTCTAAGAGATAATCAAAATCTACCTGGCCATAATTCTGTACAACATGCTCTACGTGATTCTGCTTGAACAGGGAGCTTGGACTACATTATCTCCAGAGATGCTGTCCAGCCTTACCCCTTCTGTGAATTCTGTGATCTACTATGACGGATCTGGAGTTCTAAAAAGTACCATATGGGTTTCTATGCCATTATCCTCACACTTGATTGTGATCCCTGTCAGGTATTAAGAGTTCTGTACCACGTACAATTTGGGCTAGTTGTAGTCCTGATGTAGACAGCAGTCATTCAAAAACCATTCACTCCTAGGCATGGAATAAATATCAAAGATGTAAATATCAGAGCTTCTTCTGTCTGAAGAAGTAGTTACAATAGAAAACACCAGCCCCTTCCCCGCCAGCGTTTCTTCTTGGAAAAACCTAAGTATGCTAAAGCAGAGTATTTATTTGTAGAAGCCATAAGAGCTGTACTGATAAGCCAAATTTTAAGTTATAAGACACGACAGCTATCTATGCAGCATTCCCATGCATACTAGTAACCAATACATTCAGCTAGGTGAGACTGTTTTCATCATACAACTATTTTGTTGATGCCATCTTTAAGATACCATTAGTCTCCCTAATCACTTCTTCCTCTGTTCTTTCAAGTAAAGTGGACAAGCAAGTCACTGTCAACGTGACCACTGTCACTACATCACGGTCAATGTGACCAGAGACCATTTGAGCTGAATACCCAATTCAGACTGCCAAACCACTGTTTAGATTTAGTCATCTTTGTTCACTTCTCAGTTTTGATAGACTATCTAGCAACTGCTGCACAAAATCATTGTATTTAAAAATAAAGTTGAAATTGTTAGTAAAGTCCTCAAGTGCACAAGTCTGTATGTGCAGTAATGTTTCTGTGGCCAACTTCACGATCAACTGTTTTGTTTGAAAAAGGTGACTGGAAAGAGACTCTAAGCCTCGCAGCCTCCTATGATAATATTTAGAGGTCTAATTCTACTCAGTAAAGGAGATATCTGTCCTATTTCCTGTAAAAAACAATATCTAAAAAGTTTATCATCATCATCAATAATGCAATCCTTTAGCTGTGTTTCCACTGTAGGAAACACTGGAAGTGTCCAGAGGAGGACATGAACCAGGTATCCATTTAGGAGAAGCCTGTCTTGAAAAAGCTTCTTAGCTACCAGTCAGGTCTCTTCATGCAGACAACTGGTTAACCTGTTTTCCTTGCTCACCTGTCCAGCTGCAGCACAGGGCTGGCACAAAAACACCACAGAACAGCAAGCACTCCTATACCAAGCGCATAACTACCACTGGCAAAGTACTAGTTTCACATTAAGGCAGCCTGTAAATCCTCAGCAATGATTCCTAGTGACTAGTTCATTAAGGGCAATATTTTTCTTACCAAGAGGTATCTGACTTGGAAGCTGCGACTACTTCAACTGAAACTTACTCTAACTGCCACAGGTCTGTCCACCTGTGTAGACTCCAAATCAGAAGCAACTCAACTAAGCCAGACCTGAATTACTTCCCACAAATGTTTATTTTACAGTGGAACATATTCCATTTTTCTTCTTTCTTAACTGCACATAGTACTTCTAAAGAAAGGAACTAGGACAGACAGGAGCCTCCATTCATGTAAAGTACTTCAAGCAGAAACTCCGAGACCAATCCAGGAAAGTATGAAGCTAAATTGCATTTTAATCTATCCCTCATGTGTTGTAAGCTTTCCCTAACTCAGGGATATGACCATTTCCCCTTGGGATAAAGGGAATGAAGAGAACAGTATCACAAATCCAGAATGACACAGTATCACGAAACACAAGGTATAGGAGTTCCTGGTAATGCATGTAGCTGGTGTCTGTCTCTCCAGAGTTCAGCTTTGGACAATATATTGAAAGCTCCTCATTGCTTCTTAGGGCTCCACTAAGGCCGCTAAGTTGGGGGACTGTTCCTCCCAGGACACCGCTGGCTTCTCAGCACTTCCAAAAGATTCTTTTGCTTGCAGGACACAGGGCTGTCCAGCTCCACTCCTGCCAGAGTGGACAGAAAACAGTGTGGCTGCTTCTCAGCCTCTAAGATTTTTCTCCAAGTTGATTATTTCAATCTCCCTGAGAGCAACTTTTTCACCAAGTCATCAAGGAAAGCATATGAATTAACCACATCTGGCAATCTTTCTAATTAAAAATAATTTTTGTACGATTTCCAAAAATTGAGGCAGACAATTTTATTTGACGCAACTATGAAGTCTATTAATCTATACAAAAAGAAGTTTCTGACATCAATAAGTTCTAGAGAGACCAGTAAGCAGGTTAGAAAGGATGAAAACTTGCCACAAGAGAAGCCTATACATAAACAACTGGATGCCTTGTTTTACACTTATACTCTGAACTGACTCACTTGCATCAAATGCATCTGTCTGTGCTCTCTCACAGGGTTTGAAAGCCAAATTTTACTGTGATCTCTAATCTGTACTTAGATTGTACAAACCTGTCTAGTTTGACTCTACTTCCAACATTTTAAAATATTACTTTTAGGGAGAAGGGAATAGTTTAAAATAAATATGATTTATATTGAGACCAGGAATATATTTCACATGTTTTAACATGTTTATAGGAACAGCAACATAGTTTATAATGTTTGTTACATCTTCTGAACATTTATACTGAACTTTTATACATAGTTTTGCATTTTGCACCTGCAACCTTTATAACAGCAGCTACTATCAAACACTGTATTTTTCTAGACTATTAACAGCAAGGTTATTCTGGATGCTAAAGACGACTGCTACAGGAGTCCAACTGTAGCAGGTTTATTTGTTCCCACTGGGATTTTTCTTTAAACAAAACCACATGACTCTGAGGGGGTAGGGTGGGATTTTTTTTTTTTTTTTTTTTTTTTTTTTTTAATTTTCAGTATTAGGACACTGTTTACAGCAGTCATCCAATAAAAGGACTTGGCAATATAACAAAAGAGTACATGTTCAGCATACAGAATCAAAATGTAAATGAACATACCACAATTTTAGACAGTTATACACCTGTGTCAAAACTAGAATCTAATTTTATATACATTGCCTTATGCATACAATTAAGATTGATCAGCTTTTAACAGTTTTCTTCCTTAAAATTCCAAAATTAGTAACTTATTCCATAAAAAGATAACATTTGAGTAATTTTATTACTAAAACAAGTCATCCGCTCCATTTAATTGAGCAAGTGCTTCCAAGTATTTAAGCAACTGCCTCACAGCAAAATTTCTCACAGAACATCCAAAGCAAATAAGGCCAATGCTTTTTAAGTACTATAAGGTGAGAAGCCTCAGCTACTTTTTTGACTTCTGAACACTAAGGTCTGAGAAGAATATGGAAAGAGGACAGAGATACTTCCCTACATGCAGAGAATACTCAGCTGCTCTTGCCTAGCCAGAAGAGTAGGGTCCACAGTAAGCTCTATTAAGCTAAAATTTATGACCTATATATAAATATATATGCAGGTCAGAACATTTTGGGTTTCTTGTTGATTAACATGAACGCCATTAAATTACAGCTTTGTACATTAAAACCATAATGATTCAGCACTCCACTCATACGGTGAATTCTGATCATACACAGAGGATATCCGAGTTACAGGGTAAACTTTAGGGCCTTAATCCACCTCAGCACACCTAATAGGAAAAACTGGATGGACAGGATGTTTGGTAGAGTGAACACACTCGCTGAAGAGAAGAATTTTTAACTTCTCTATGATTAAGAGATTAACTCCTCTGCTATTTTTAACTTCTCTGAGAAAGCTTAGGCAACTGCTCATTTTGATAGAGCCAAGCAGTCAGTTTTAGGTATAAAACACCTAAAAGTATCTGAAGATATATGAACAGAGAAATCTCCTAGCAAGAAATACCACAGAGTGTTTGACTGCACACAGAGTTCTTCACATGAAATTAGCAGGGCATTCAGTTC